CTTTTATTAAAAATACCCGGGACTAAATCATAGCCTTAATCATTAACCTCCAGGTCTTTCCTCTACAGAGAGAAATGGAGTGTTAAACTGCCACCCAGGAGACAGGTGTGATAGTGGGTCGCTGCGTAAGTGTGGTGGAAAAGCCCCAGAGCATGGCCAGCCTGTGGAAATCCTTCCTGCATGACTCTGGGAAGAAATCTTTCGCCTCGTCGGTTACCTGGGAAGTTACAGATGTCAGCACTGTGGCCCCATGACCCGCCTGGCTCTTGTGCCATTTGCTGCTAACTCTGTGGCGCTGATAACGCCATTAGAAAGGAGGACCCAGGATAGCAGGACCAGAGAAGAGGAGAGGAGAGAAAGTAGAGACACACAAAGGAAAGAGGACGGCAGGAGAATGAAAAAGGAGGACTAGGAAGATGAAAGTGGAAGAACAAAGACGGAGATAATCCTGGATAACACCACTTAGCACTTATTCAGTCTGAGGTGCTTCTCAGACGCGCAGCGCTGAACCTTTATTAACAGTGGGAATCATCACCCCCCAGTTTACAAGGAGGGAAACCAAGGCAGAAAGAGGCTGTGATTTGCCCAATCCTGCGAGGTGCTGAGCTCCCTCAACTCCCACCATCTCTCAGCAGGTGCTCAGAACCTTGCAAAACTGAGCGCCCAGCTGCAGAGCCTGGAGCTAATGTATGTAACAAATGGCCATGCGTTAGAGCTTGGCCACTGCAACCCTAGGCTGAGAGAGCGCTCCAGAGCCCAGTAACACGTGCCATGTGAGACAGTGGTTTTACCTGCTCTACTTCTGGCAGCTTGCCACTCTCCAAGATCCTCTTCCCACTGGTGTCCTCTGAGTTCAGTACATGGAAGTCCAAGCATGGCACCCCCACGTCTTTCTTTCCATCCTGGTCTTTGTCTGCTCCTTCTGACCCTTCTCCCTCCAGCCCAGACACCTTAGAGTCCGCCAGTGCCTTTAACTTTTCCAGGCGCTCCTTCTCAGCTCTCTCCTTTTCCAGCCGCTCTCTCTCGGCTCTCTCCTTCTCCAGTCTTTCCTGACGCTCCCTTTCCCTGTCCTTCCGGCCCTTGCGGCCAGATGGAGCCTGACGCTGATCTTCTGCTTCATGCTGGGTCTCCTCAAGGCCTGGGGGTGGCAGCTGAACACCCTGCACCCGGTCCCAGAGTGACAAAATCTGGACAATTTCCCTCTGTGCGGCCTCATAGACTTTAAACCTCTGTGTCAAGTTCTTCTCGCTGTCACTTACCACCTCCTTTTCTGTTTCCTCCTGCTCCGGGATCGGGGGTGGCATCAGCCCTAGTGGCAGGACGTCTGGCAGAATGAGTTTGCTCCGCTTTTTCTTGTCCTCCTTGTCACATGCCACAGAATCTGGACGCTCTTTCACAGACACTTTCCTCTCCACCCCTTCGTTCAGCTTGAGGTCTGACCTATTGACAGTGGCGATACTGGCACCCTATGAGGTGAGGATTATGGAAAAGGAAGGGAACATTTGTAAGTACTAACTCATAGCTTGTAAGATTATATTTGTATTACCGTAGTGCCAAGAAGCCATGGGTATGGACCAGGACTTCATTGTGCTAGGCACTGCACAGACACAGAACAAAGAGATGGGCCCTGTCCCGAAGAGATCCCAATCTAGTGATTTGATACAGAGCCTTCCCACAACAAGTGTGCAAGGGCTAGCACATCCCCTGCACGATGATATCCTCAGCGTCTCTTAATGGGAAGGCTACTGCGTTCTCCTGTATCTGAGTTCGAGATGCCAGCAATGAGGGTAGTGGTTTGGACAAGCCCAGGTTTCAGACAAAATTACTCTCTCCTGCAGGAGACTTCAATGAAGTCAATGGGACGAGTATGTGCCCTGCACCTCTGACAATCGGGCTCTAGTGAATGTACAGACCTGGCAGCATACCCTGAATGTACAGACCATGGCGGGAAGCTGAGGGCTGTCCAGTGCTTCCAGCCCAAAGCTGTATGAATCTATGGCTTGCCACAAAGAGCAGATCAGATGTCACCATGCAAAATGAGAAGAAAGGTCAACTCCAACATACCAGGGACTAAAAGCACATGCACTTTCTAGGTCAAAACCAACCAGTGCAATTGAACCTGGAAATGAACTAGAAGTCAGTGTGGTCTATAGAGACCAGGTGTCCTATGCTTCAACGGGGAAACGCACTGAGCGAGCACGTGCCGTGCATGAGCTGAAGTTTCCCAACAGCCTTCAAGAACAGACCCATGTAATATATTCATCACTAGCTACTGATTCCCTGGCCTAGCAAATTACATATGATTGAACCTCCAGCTGCTATCGTGCTGGCTTGTATCCCATGACAGGGTCACGGCAGAGGCAGTCTTAAACACCTTTATTAGCAGAACCACATACCTGTTTGCCTCCCAGCTGGCTTTTCTTTCCCAAGGCCTCATCTTTGTCTTTTCCAGACTCTCTCTTCCACCGCTTGGTCTTCTTCCTCATCTCTTCTTCCTCTCGCAAGCGCTCCAATTCCTGCTGGTGCCTCTTTTCCTCGAGCTCTCGGGCCAACTTCTCCAGCTCCCTTCAGCAAAGCAGACAGAAAACTCACTCAGCATAAACTCTCAGCTGTGCTGCAGCCCTGGGAAATCTCTGTTCTTAGAACACCAGTCTGAGCTTGAGGCCTTGCTCCATAGTTCTCAGGCCAAAAGGGACCATCAGATCATCTAGTCTCACCTCCTGTAGTCTGCAGAGCTTCCAGGTCAATAATGCAGCCAGTCACTTGGAAGCCCACACAATATATAACTGAACTCACGTCCATTTAAAAACAAACACATTGATTTTTCTTCTTCTTTTTGGGGAAACAAAATTTGGCCTCGACTGAGGAAAGCACTCAAGTATGTACCTAACTTTAAGCATGACCGTAAGTCCCACTGACTTAAATGGGACTTAAATACATGCTTAAAGTTAAGCATATGCATAAGCGCCCCTACTGAATAAGGATGATTATCTGAATCAGAACCTAATTCTCCATCTCACACCCTTTTGGCTACAGTTAATATTTATGGCCAGTGCCACTACGCATATTAAGTCAATGAGAGGGGTACTATGCAAATAGCATTGTAAGGACTTATCTACTGTGAAAATAACAGCGAAACTGAGCCAATATAGTTCAAATGTGATTTTCAAGGACTAGGAGGAGCTTTCTGTGTCTCTAGAAGAGTTACAGTTGAATTGTCAGTGTTGTCCTTAATTTAGGGTTGTTAAAATACAATAATGTAGTTTTATCCAGCACTTCACACAGGAATGTCAGTATCATTATCACTATTTTACAGATGGGGAAACTGAGCCACAGAGAGGGGAAGTCACTTGCCACGGTCACCCAGCAGCAGAGCCAAGACTAGAACTCAGGTCTCCCAAGTCCCACTCCAGCACACTATCCTCTGGCCACCAACCTACACAACAGGTAAAAGCAGGAGAGTCATTTGGTCCTTACGAGTCTCCATCACCTCCTGTGAGCTACTCCTCCCACTTCCTGAACCACTGAGGAGAAACAGAACTTCCTGCTGCTGCTTCTGAGCTACCCTTCCCACCATCCCACTCACCCCTGCTCAGAACCACGACTCCTGCTTGATAAAACCAGACAAACCCACTGAAAAGTGGGTAGTGCCAGTGCACGGTGCAGGAAAAGAAACAACAGGCAAGCCCAGAAGTGTCCCACGTGGAGGGTGGCGCAACACTGCCAGGCAGCTGTCCAGGGACAGTTCACACACCTCTTTTTCCGCTCCCGTAGCGCTTGGAGCAGTTCATTATCAAACTGAATTTTCTGCTCCTCAGTGAGAGCGTCGTACTCTTCCTCATCCATCTCCTGGAGACGAGCCTTTTCCCTCGCAATGGCGTCTTTCTGTTCCTGTTCTGTCATGCAGCCAAACAGAGAAATGCACCGGCTGAAATCATAGCTCAGGGCTCAGGACAGGCCCTCCCGCTGGTGCCAGCTTGTGTGTGTCCCTGCTCCGATTAGCAGGCACTGAGTTAGGTGCTGGGGCGGAGGGAGGCAGGGGGCCTCGTACGTCTACACTGAAGTGTAAGCCCAGAGCTTGAACTCAGGCTTTACCCCCTTCCGTCCACACACAAATCATGCTAAACCAGGGCTCAGACCCAGACTCCCAGGACCCCATGGGGTTCGAGGGTCCGAGCCTGAGTCAAGCTGGGACCCAGGGTTCAAGCCCTCTTGCTTCGCAGCACAGATGCAGCCCCACTGGACTCATGCTTTGGGAATCCGCCAATAGTATCCCACAATCCCATGGGCCGACTCTCTGTGACCTCTGGACTGTCAAGTTTCCCCACACTGCACCACGAGCAAAGGGCCCGAGTGGCCACGTTTTGGAGAGCGCTAGGAAGTCTGGGAGATGGGGGCTGGACTGGAGCCCACATAATGCAGTGTAGGGGCCCAGGGTTCAACAATTCCTACCCTGGGGTTACACATGGGTGTAGCTGCTCAAGCTCTAGGTTAACACCCCCTGGGTCTGCTGACTCCAATTCTGCCAGCCCTGGGCTTGCACTCAGTGTAGACAGATCCTGTGAGTCCTACAATGCTGGCCCCACTGTATTTTGTGCATTGTGAAGCTGGATCCCGGGACAGCTTTGGCTCTAAAACTACAGGTGCTATGGGAGGGAGAGCAGCAGGTTCTACCCATATAACTATGTGAATGGGATGTCCCATGAGACCCAGCCTCCGCAGGAACCCAAAGAATCCATAGGAGAGTCAGACCTACTTGATGATCCTGATGCAAGCTGCATAACTACTCCCAAAACAGAGCCAGAGCTCAGATTCATCCCAGGCACCTGGACTGTGCCGATCTCTTCCCCATTCCAACTGCCAGTGTCCTCAGCACACTAGGGGGCTGTGAGTATACGCCCCTAAAAACAGCTCCCCTGTTAGGCGTAGCAGCCCTTTGACTCCTGGAAGCCAGTCCACCTACACCCTGTTTCCCTGTCAGTCTCTCAGCCAGGCCTGTGCTGCTCCCCATTGGCTGCACTGCTGGCAGTGACTGTCCCGCATCTGCCCCGAGCTGCCAGGACAGCCATCCACCGGTGAAGCTCGATTTTTTCTTTCAAACAAAGCTGTATCCCTTCTGTGTCTCTGCTCAAGGATAAAACACCCTTTCAAGTGCTATTTAAAATCATGTGAATACAGGTGTGAAAAGCTGCAGTAACTTGTGTGAAATGACCAAAAAGGGGGGTCCTGGTTGTTAGCTTGTATTGCTGCCTAGATATGGTGATAGGCACTCTAGAAATTAGGACTGGTCGAAAAATTTCTGTTGAAACTGTTCTTCAATGGAAAACTGGGTTTAGGACTAACCAAAACATTCTGAGAAAAGTGTCTGCTTTCTGCAGGAAAAAGTGTCTGCTTTCTGCAGGAAATTTCAATTTTGTCAAAAACCCAAATGCCCAAACATGGAAATATTTCAGTTTGTATATTCTGCCACAGTGCTTCATGGGAGTTGTAGCTTGGTTACCTTGTGTCCCCATTTGCCTTTAAGGGACAGGATTCTGAACTGGACTGCATCTCCCATTACACACCACATCCAGGGATACCCGTGATGCACTGCCTCCCGTCTCCAAAAGGAGAGATTGTGATGCATCATGGGAGATGAAGTCTGACAGGGACCCTTGCCTATAAACGAGAATAGGAGCACGAGGTATCTGAGCTACAACTCCCATGAGGCTCCACGGTAACACTTCCAAATTGAAATATTTTGGTATCTGAATTTTCACCCCGCAAAAATCAAAATTTTCTGTTGAAAATGCAGACGAAAATTTTTTGTGTTTTGGTGAAAATTTTCTGAGGTGGAAAAATCCCCCCGGTTTTCTGACAGACGGTATTAGAAATGCCTAGACAGACACACAGACATGTAGAGGTGTGAGTGTCAGAGGGTTCACTGAAGAATCCTTCTCACCTTCCTGCTCTTTCTTGGCCTTCTCCCTAGCCTTCATGGCAGCATAATCCTGGAACAGGTTCACCATGTAGATGTAACGCCGGTTGTTGATTGCTTTGAGTAGGCAAAGGAGAGCAGAAGGCATATTGCGGGCAAAGATTGTTTCTAGTCCATCAAACACCACTCCCTGATAGCAGTCACTCAGCTGTGAATGTGGAACACAAAGGGCATAAATCCATCCCAATGAGCACACAGTATTCTCATCAGCAAATAAAACTGCTCTGATATAAAAACATATTAGCAAGCGCTATCCCCAGATATCTGAAATAGTCACAGATTCCAAGGCCTGGAGGGACCACTCTGATCACCTCCTCTGCGCAGCACAGGCCAGAGAAGCTCACCACTGACTCCACCACCAAGTTCAACATTTCTGGTTGAGTTAGAGCAGATCAACAGCACATCTCCACCTGTTTTGATTTTCTCTGCATATTTCTCTCTCTCTGCCCCTTACTGCCCTGGCCTGGCTCTCCATTGCCTTAACCTATCATTAAATCAAACCTTGACAACACCACATTCCCCATCCCTTCACACAAACATCCTCACCCGACACACCAAGCTTCATGACCAGCATTTCCTTCTGCCCAGGTGAGCACCTGCCATACCTGCATTCTCTCGGAAAGGATCTCCACCAGTAGCTCCTCGGGAAGCATGCAGCTCATCAGGCCTGATTCTCCTGCCATGCTGGCACTGACACTGAGCCGTCGCTGGACAGGAGCACTGGGAATAGGGCTGGGAGGAACCTGCAGCATTCACCACCCCAAGGGAAAAAATGCTTCAGAAAAACCCATACAATTCCTCCTCATTTCTTCTGCCCATCACATCAGCCCCGTCACCCTACCAGCTCAGACGGCTGTCACATGCTAATGGGGCAAAGTAGCCCAGAAGTCATAGGACTGGAAGGCTCCTCAGGAGGTCATCAAGCTCAGCCCTCTGTGCGGAGGCAGGACCAAGGAAAACTTAGACCCCAGCCCTGGCAGGTGTTTGTCCAGCCTGTTCTTAAAAACAAAAAGGCTGGGGATTGTCTGGCAGCGAATCATTGATAACTACACTTGGAGTACGGCCTTCCAACCGCTGAGCACCCACTTCCCTCTAGGCTTAGTGTTGTGAGGCTGCTGCTCAGGCCATGGCCATAGTGAGGGGGCTCAGGAAGGGAGGAATTTTCTTCCCATGAGTAGGCAAGGGCTAGGGACAATCGCAGTCCTGCAGTCTTCTCCCTCCGTAAGCTCTCTCAGGATCCAGACCATGCATTTCTTTTATGTCTCAACCTACATATTTATTTTAAAAAATGCAGGTGCTACTGCCTGTGTAGGGTGTCTGTACTCGGGGTACTGGACTGGGACACTGGAGACCTGGGCCTAGTCCTCATTCTCCCACTGATTTGCCATGTCACCTAGGGCAAGACATGAAGAGACACATTTTCAATAGGGCCCTCTCATTTTGGGTGCTTTGGTTTATGAGTACCCAACTGTCAGAGAGTGGCTGGCCCTCCAAAGGGGTCAGGCGCCCAGCTCCACAAAGGTGAATGCCTGATGCACCTCAGGTTAACCTGGGTGCACTTAACTCGCTGAGTAATGGGGAAAGTGTCTACATGGCAAGCAGCAGCCCGTGGCAGCGACTCTCAGAGCCCAGGTCTACAGACTTAACTCCATGTCCCTCAGACCTGAATTGGAGAGCTACGCAACACGCACTCACCCACTGACTTCAGCTGGCATGGGGTGCTCAGACCCCAGGTGTCCAGAGCTGAGCACTCAAAAATGGTGGCAACCAAAATTAGAGGCCACACTTGAAAATTTGGACCTTCAAACTTCTCTGAGCCTCAGTTACTCTTGCTATAAAAGCGGAGCATGACAACGCTGACACCTCACTGCACTAACACAGGGAACACTCTGAGCCAGCTCCGCACCAACATGCAGAATAAAAACTCTTCAGGACGTGTGTGCACATTGCTGGTGCTTAACAAACAACTAACCCCCATCAAACCCTTGGAGAGGCACCTCAGCCCTCACTCCCAGCGCAAGAGTCCTCCCAGCCCCAGGACTCTCGAGTAGCTAACTTTGCCTAATTCAATAGTGCTTTTATCACCTGGACTAAGCCCCACTAGAGACTAGAACAAGACCACCAGGCTGATTTGTACTTGTGAGTACACAGGTTAAGTCAGCAGAGATGAAAGCCCAGGGCAGGAACCCACTGGGCCAGTGCAGCTCCAGTGCAGGAGTCAGTTTCTCACACACTCTTAGAAGAGTGATGGACTAATCCCATCTGTTTACTGATGTGAATTCACTTTCACCTGTGATCCTGTTTGATCCGATTGGTGCTGCTGCTTCTGTGCCTGCGAGGCATGGCCTTCTGACTTCCCCCTGCCAGTTCCTGTGCTGCCCCTGTAGCCCTTGGAGGTGATGGACTGTGGCCCGGTTTTGGTCTCGGAGCTCGGCTGGCTACCCTCCGTGGTATGCTTGGCCAAAGCCTCAACGCTCAGTCTTGTGCTCAGAGCTGTCTGCCCTGCAGAGCCCTCAGAAGACTGACCTGCTAGGATGAAAGAGGAGTTCAGCCTCAGGGGGATCCAATCTGCAGAAGACTGACTACAGCAGTTAGCGTTCCTCAAACTGCCAGGGATGAACACGCTTCTTAATCCAAGTCACTGGAGCGGAAGCTGCTGGCATCCTGCCTTTGCCTGCCAGTGGAGCTGACCAGACACAGGGGGGAGCATGCCGCACTCTCCCAAGGGACGCAGCACAGCACGTACCTGCCCCAGGAGCTGGAGCTCCACAATGGATTAGGCCGTTCAGGCACAAGCTGGCCATTAGCACCAGGGGTCACATCTGATTGCACAGAACACACATTCCTGCCCACGCTTCTGTCACTGCCAAGGGAAAGTGCAAAAGAGGATACGTGGGTTCTACGGCTAGAGACTTTTAGTGCTCAAATGCTATGGTGATGGGCGGTTATAAAAGCTGCGTAGAGAGAAATACCGACGTCGAGGAAATAAATGAATGATCCTCTGTCAGACTGTCACTGACTCCAGCGACACCAGGACTCAATTGCAAGTGGCTCTGTCATTCATTGTTTGTCCAGGGAGATGGAAAGCAAAACAGAAAAATCTAAATCAATACCCTTTCCCCCACTGCACCATGAGGCGCAGGACCCAGGGTAGAGGGATTAACTTGACTATTTCTTAGAACTAAACCACTCATCCGTCTGCCCCAAGAAGCAAGGAACAGAGGCCAATGCTCCACCAAGTGGACAGGAGCTGTGCCCCAAAGCAAAGCCCATGACAAACGGGTTAGCACACAAAGGCCTTTCACAGCAGCAGGCGCTGCTTGTGCTGTATCTGTTCCAAGGCTTTGTTCTCCAGGGCTGTCAATGCAGCACCTCTTGCCTGCACCACGTTTGGGCACAAAAACAGTCATGAAAATCGTTCCTATTAACCCTTTCTAGCCTGGGGGTCTCCTTGTCCCTCTGCTTGGGATTTTAGTCCTCAAAGCAGGACCCCGTGAGGGTGAGCAACACCCTCAGGCTGCCAGCTCCAAGCTTGCTAGTGTACACCGCTCGCCAGGTCCCAGGGGAAAGGCACAGGACCTAGGAGCAGGAGTCTAACAGAGAATTTGCAGGAGCAACTTCTTTGCACAAAACCTTCAAAGATGTGAAATGAATCCATTTGTATTTTAATGTAACTCGCTGTATAACTGACCTGGGGGACTGTGTTTCACACACCCCATGCTCATTAAATCACTATCTTTTCAAGCCAAGCATTTTGGATCTTAATGGGCACTGCAGGGGACTTCAACTTCAGCAACAAGATCAGGAAAAGCCTTTCTGGATGATCATAGCATGAAGCCTGGGCAGAGTGGCTGTAACCACCCATGAATTAGGGCAATCTCTTAGAAAAGCACCAGAGTGTTTTACCTCTATTATGGAAAGGAATACATCCAGAGCATCACAATGGAATGAAATGCCTAGGTACTAACACCAGAGAAAGAGAGATTTTTAACAGGCAAGAGACATTATAGACTGCAAGTTGGACTTTGCATTACAGGGATTCGGCACCTCTGAACCCTTATATTCTTCTTGATTCCAAGGCTAGAGATGCGTTATTGTCCAGCATCACTGCTATTCAACCAGCTGTGGTGATCGAACTGCGAACTGAGAAGACCATTTTATGCTCCAGCTTCTACCATCTGTGGAGCTCCCCATGGGATTTCATACCCAGACGCATCAAAGTTCCCTCCACCCACCCCTGAGGTTACCAAGAGCCCCCGTGGGTTGCTGAAAAGTCTTCACGACAATGCACTAGAGGGAGAAAATGAAGGGAGGGGATGGCAAGGCCATATGATGGAAATTGTGCTGGGGTCATGCCCAGCATTTCTGTGCAGCACGGCTGTCCAGCCTTTGTGCCGCTGAAGGTCTGAGCCCTTACCAGCTTCCTCTGACTCCCGATGTGCCTGCTCAATGGCGGCCCTGATGCACAGCTCCCGTGCGCGAAGCCCCGCGGAACTGCTCCTGTCGGAGAGGGCTTCCAGCACCACAGCGTCGATGGATAGGCAGGCAGCACTGTAGTGTTTGGCCAAGGTGACAGCTGCAGTTGTCTTTCCTTTACAGAAACAAAAGTCTCTGTTGACATTCATGTGTGGTGCATCTTTATCTAGACATTGTATGAGCAAGTGCTTTGAAATGGCCTGGTGTGCGATTTGTAACCCCTGTGAATAGCAGAGTGATAGTCACTTTAAAAAGAATGGCCAGTGATGCCAATGACGAGATGGATATTATGGGTATGGGCATAAATCCAATCTATCTCACACTGGTTGTATGAAAGGGGATGAATTTGGCCCATTAACTTCAATGGAGTTACATCAGGGATGAGTTTGGCTCAGGGCATCAAACTAACATGTAGTTAAAGACAGTGCAAATCCCACTGATTCCTCCATGTCAAATTCAGCAGGGATGTGAACAGCAGCATCAGTCACACATCGGAGCCAGGCTGGTAAGAAAAGCAGTGTTTAGTGGTTAAGTGATATAGCTAGCACCACTTTGGCACTGAACAGTGTGCAAATAAAACTGTTACTAACCTTTCCATAACTGGTGTTCTTCGAGATGTGTTGCACATGTCCATTCCGATTTGGGTGTGTGCGTGCCCGGAGCACAGCTATCGGAATTTTTTTCCCCTAGTGGTATCCGTCAGGTTGGCTCTGGTGCCCCCTGGTGGCCCATGCACCTCAGTTTCTTCTTACCAGCCACTCCAAGAACGGGGACAGTAGGTCAGTCTTGGAATGGACACGTGCAACACATCTCGAAGAACAACAGTTACAGAAAGGTTAGTAACCGTTTTTTCTTCTTCAGGTGCTTGCACATGTCCATTCAAATTGGGCTCGGAGTTCAAGGGCAAGCTGACTGTAGCATTGCTTGGCCAAGTTGCACATCATCTCTGGCCTGTTGAGTAACGACAGTGTGTAGAAAGAACAGGAGTACTTGTGGCACCTTAGAGACTGTTCTTTTTGCGGATACAGACTAACACGGCTGCTACTCTGAAGTGTGTAGAAAAAAAGTATGTACCGAGGACCAGGTTGCTGCCCTACAGATATCCTGAATAAGGACTTGGCCCAGGAAAGCCGCCGCCGAGGCTTGGGACCTCGTAGAATGAGAAGTCAGGTTTGACGGACAGGGAACACCGGCAAGGTCGTAACATGCTTTGATACAGGACGTTATCCACAACAAGATTCTTTGAGCCGAGATGGGGAGTCCCTTCATCCTTCTGACTATTGTATGAAGAGTTGCAGAGACTTACGGAACGGTTTGGTCCTTTCAATATAAAACGCCAGGGCTCGTCTAATGTCCAAGGAATGCAAGTGTTGTTCCTCCCCATTTGCATGCAGTTTAGTGTAAAAAATTGTTAGAAAAATGGGTTGGTTGCAGTGAAACTGAGACACCACCTTGGGAAGGAAACTCAGGTGTGGGAGTAACTGCACCTTGTCCTTAAAGATTGTACAAAGGCTTCGCTGTGAGGGCTCGGATCTCTGACACTCTCCTGGCCAAGGTGATTGCCACTAGAAACGCCACCTTCCAAGACAGGTGCAGCAGTGAACATGTTGTTAGTGGCTTGAAGGGAGGCCCCGTCAATTTCAAAAGGACGAGATTCAGATCCCATGCGGGGGATGGATCCCTTATCTGTGGGAATATTCTCTCTAGGCCTTTAAAGAAGCTAATTACCGGCTCATGTGAGAAGACTCACCTATTGTCTATTTTTGGGTGGAATGCCGAGATGACTGCCAGGTGGACCTGCTCCTTCGGAAATAAGAGGTAGTCCAAGATGAGCTGTAGTGAAGCCTCCAGAGGGGACACTCCATGTTGGGAAGACCAGAGGGAGAAATGCTTCCACTTAGTCCAGTAAGTTGCCCTCATGGAGGGTTTTCTGCTGCCCAGGAGGACTTTACGCACCTGCTCCAAACAAGCTCGCTCATCGGAGTTTATCCATGAAGATTCCAAGCTTTCAGATGCAAGACACTGACGTTCGGGTAGAACAGTTGCCCAGGGTCCTGGGAGATCAGGTCTGGGTGGAGTAGTAGGCTGACTGGTACCTCCACGGACAGCTGAACGAGTGTGGTGTACCAGCACTGTCTGGGCCAAGCTGGGGCTATTAGAATAACTCGGGTCCAGTCCTGCTTGATCTTTGTCAGCAACTTGTGAATCAAAAGGGATGGGTGCAAAAGCATAAAACTGGTAGGATGACCATGTTAGCAGGAAGGCATTTGTGATGGACCCTGGGCTGTAGCCCCTCAGGGAGCAGAATTGTTGACACTTCCTGTTGGCGCAAGTGGCAAAGACCCCACCTGCGGAAGATGTCCCAGGCGACATCCAGGTGAAGGGACCACTTGTGGTGAGTGGAAAAGAACCTGCTGAGGTGATCTGTGAGCTGGTTTTGTATGCCCGGTAGATAAGATGCTTGACGCTTGAGTGATGAAGAATTCCCATAGACGAGTCGCCGCTCAACAAAGACGGGACGAGTAGGCCCCACCTTGTCTGTTGATGTAACACACGGTTGATATATTGTCCTTGAGAACTGAGATTGTTTTGTTTGTAATATGGGGCAGGAATGCCTGACAAGCTAGGCAGACAGCTCTGAGTTCCCTGATATCGATGTGGACCGAAACTTCCTCTTGGGACCACAGATCTTGTGTCCTGAGATGTCTTAGGTGGGCTCTCCAACCTAGCACTGAGGCACTGGAGACCAAATGTGCGGACAGTTGACACCTTGTGAAGGACACTTCCTTACATAGCACCCTGTGGACTAACCACCACTCCAGGGAGTTGAGGCCTTGAGGTGGCACACTGAGGACCCTGTCCAGATGATGTCTGGAAAGGGAGTACACTGTGCCCAGCCGGGCCTGGAGAGGTCTGAATCTCAGCCTTGCATGCTGTACTATGTATGTGCAGGAAGTAGGCTGAAACACATTCTAACGGTCATAGTCAGATGTGCCTGCAGGAAGCGTATTAATGATGAGATTGATCAGAAATGGTCCTCCAGAAGATGGGCTCTTGCCAACGTCAAGCCGAGAAATGCCCCAATGAACTCTATTCTTTGAACAGGCGTTAGGGTTGACTTCTGAATGTTTATCAGAAGACCCAACTTTTGGAAGGTTGAGTGTATGAGTGCAATGTCGGACTCCACTTGCACTGGGGACCGGCCTTTGATGAGTCAGTTGTCCAAACACAGGAACACGTGGACTCCTCTTTTCCTCAGAAATGCTGCTATCACTGCCATTCACTTGGTGAAGACTCACAGAGCGGCTGAAAGACTGAATGGCAGGGCTGCAAACTGGTGATGCCAGTGGTTCACCACAAACCTGAGAAATCTTCTGTGGCCCTGAAATATCAAGATGTGGAAATATGCGTTCAAGTTGTACAGTATTTGATTAAAATATGACCATGCAAATCATTGTTGCTACCATTGTTATATAATTGCAACAAAACTTATACAAAGTGTGATTCATGGCCAGAAAAGGGTTAAGCATCCTGCAGGATAATTCAACCTTTAGAGACGTGTTAGAAAAGTATGCAAATTGTAATTAGGGCCATTCCATGCTAGATAGGCTAGAACTTTGAAAGGCAAACCTGTATTGTTAGAGAATTGGAGGTGATACTAATTGTATGTGATTACTTATATCTTGTAAAATGTTAGCCATGTAAACAGACAGTTCCTGCTGTCACTATAGCTATTGATTCAGAGATCAAAAGGGAATATTAACATTTAAATGAACTGTAAACCTGGATATCACTGTGTTCGTCTCTCTTTGAAATGTACAGCAAACCACCTGAGAATGATGGAAAACAAGCAATTGCCTTATGTTAATCTGTATAGATAATTACCCTCGATGCTTAGGAAATGGGTCCACTTCAAAGTCCATATGAGTGCCTATTGTTCACCTAAGGACTCTGAGCTGTCACATGAAGGCCTGAAACTGTATAAAGATGCCTTGGGTTCCAACCCTTTTTATCTCAGATCTGCGTGATGCTTCATACAGTTAAGCTTAAACCCAAGATTGAGATCTCCAGTCCTAATCTGGAATCACCCTGAATATGAACATTGGACTATAACCTATGGACTATTTCTGAAAGAACTCTTTGCAACAACAAAGATCACCATTTATACTATGAATCTGAATCTCAAGAACTGTACTCATGTCTGTATGTATATTGATCCTTTAACCAATACTCTCTTTTATTTTTTAATAAATTTTAGTTTAAGTAATAAGAATTGGCTGTAAGCGTGTATTTAGATAAGATCTGGAATATTCATTAACCTGGGAGGTAATGTGTCTGTTCCTTTGGGACTGGTAGAACTTTTTTATATGATGAATAAGATTTTCAGTAATCCTCATCATATTTGACTTGGTTGTCTGGGTGGAGGCCTGAGGCTGGGTTACTTTAAGGGAACCATGTTATTGGCTTCTGGGTAACCAGAGAGGTATTACAGAGGCTGTTTTGTGCTGGCTTGGTGAATCTATTGGAAGATCCACCAGCTTTGGGGATTGTCTGTCCCATTCTTTTCAGTTCACCCTAATTGAGTGACTTCAGTTGGCTCCCCCGGGACTCTGGGTCATGCAAGTCAAGGGCGGCATACCAATCCCCCGGATCTAGAGACGGGATGATGGACACCAGGGAGACCATGCAGAACTTCAGCTTTTCTAGGTATCAGTTGAGTCCACACAGATCTAGGATCTGACTGAGACCCCTTGGCTTTGGGGATCAGAAAGTAGTGGGAATAGAACCCCTTTCCCCTTAGCTGTAGTGGAACTTCTTCCACAGCTCCCATCTGGAGAAGCGATTGCACTTCTTGCTCTAGCAGAAGCTCATGAGAAGTGTTCCTAAAGAGGGATGGGGAAGCTGGATCGGAAGAAGGGGTAGAAATAAACTGGAGGGTATACCCCGACTCTACGGTACTCAATACCCAGTGGTCGGAAGTAACCCGTTCCCAGCCCTTGAGGAAGTGGGAAAGGCGGTTGGAGAAGATAGGGGACGGATCCTGGAGCCGTGGGTTTGGTATGCCGTCCTCGAGCACCTCATCAAAACAAGTGTCTCGAGTTGCCTGAGTGGCGTAGGACTGATTGAGAAGGCCTTGTGGAGGAGGAGGTTGGAGGTGGCCTGTGTGCGAACCCCCTGTTCCTTCTCCTCCTCTAATCATGACGTGGCTGCTGGGGGAAGTAGCAGCCATATTGCTGGGGCCTATATGGTCTCCTAGACTACACAGGGTTGTGCAACCCGAAGGACTTTAGTATCACCCTGGAGTATTGAAAGCTGTGTTGCCTCGCATCAGTTTGTTCTGAAAAGAGCGAAGGGCTTTCAAAGGGCAAGTCCTGCAAAGTCTGCTGAACCTCCTGCGGGAGCCAGGATGTCTGTAAGCATGAGCTCCTGAGCCGCAGAATC